CGATGATGCATGCCAGTCTGATGAATAACTATTTTCAACCTTAACTTAGTATACATAGAAGAAGATTTCAGACGTCGCTTCCAGATGAGGAGTCATGTCTTCGAGTGTTTACTTCATAATGTCCAGCAGGTCAATCCATACTTTCGACAGAAGAAGAACAAAGCAAGCTGACTTGATTTCTCACCTCATCAGAAGGTTATTGTTGCACTCTGAATGATGACCTATGGCTCCCCAATTGATTCGATGGATGAAACCCATGGTATGTCTGAGTTTGCATGCCTTGATACTATTGCTGAATTATGTGACACAATTGTTCAGCTTTACAAAGACGAGTGCCTCCGCGAGCCAAATCAAGAATATCTGGATCGACTCATTCACAAAGCTGAAGACCTTCGATTTCCGAGCATGATAGGGTCATTATACTGCATGCATTGGGATTGGAAGAACCGTCCCACCGGATGGCAAGAAAGCATGCCAAATCCATGTGTCATTCGAGGCAACCGGATCCCAAAATGACATTACGGTTCTTGGGTGTTCACCTCTATTCAATACCCTGACGGAAGGTAAAACACCTTAACTTGACTACTACATCAACGACCGTCGGTGCAATATGAGGTATTACTTGGCAAATGACATCTACCCAAAGTGGGGGACACTTTTCCAAGCAATTCCAAACCTTTGGAATGACGCCGAAAAGTTGTTTACCTTACATTAAGAGGCATACCAGAAAGATGTTGAGAGAGCTTTTGGTATTCTACAAGCACGGTGGAAGATCATCAGCGAAACCGACAAAAGGGTAGAGTCGAGAAAATTTGGACTCCATCATGATGTTTTGCATCATATTACACAATATAATTGTGGAGGATGAGCAAGATGGGTATATTGATGGAGAGTTCGACGACAACCAAGATGATCCAAATAGGTCAAGAAGGGCTTGTGCAAAAATATATGATGGGCCTAATTTTCCTTTCAATCCAAGAACTGGTAATATCTCTATAAATGAGTACATGAGACGCTATAGAATGATACGTTCCTGTGCCATAAACAAGTACCTACAACAGGATCTTGTTGCACATCCTTGGGCCAAAAATAGCATGGAGTAGGAATTTAAGTTTTATGTTGTTAAATGTTTTTAAAAATGTTGTTTAAGTTTCATGTTGTTAAATAATTTTTTTTTATGTTGTATAATTTTTATGTTGCTTAATGTTATTTAATGTTATTTAATGTTGTTTAATATTGTCTAAAATTGTTTAATGTTGTTTCATGTTACTTAATGTTATGTAATGTTTAATGGTTTAGGAAGCTATAGGGTAAAAAAATAATTTTTAAAATTAGGCCATCTCCAACCAAATGGTCCAGAGGGCCGAAAATAGCTTGAAAACCGTCTTCAACCGAAGGCTAAACCAGAGGGCTCGTGGGCCTCACATAATTTGAAAGGGCCAAATGGCCAAAGGGCTGATCGCATGCAGCCAGCCCGAGGCTGGCCAGAAATTCCAGCAATCCTATCGGATATAATCGACAAGAATATATTTATATTAAATATATTCCTATCGGTTATATTCGACAAAAATGCTTAAACAAAAATTTGAATCCAAATGCTAACTGAAGCTAGTTACCGTTGGATTCAAATTTTTGGAATTTTTTTTTGTTTTTAATTCTTAAAAATTCTAATTTTTTTTTCTATAAATACCTAAACCATCCATTCACCATTTCAATTCTCATATTTTCTTTCCTCTTTCAAAAATCCATCTTTCAATTTTTTCAATAATTTTCAAATGGCCCCGTCTGCAATGAAAGGTAGGGCTTAGATTTGAAAAGAAGATGAAACTCATTGCAAGGCTTATAGATGGGTGTCGGAAGATAGTGTGAGGGGGAATTGTCAAACAAATGACGGTGTTTGGACTTCTGTGTCCAAAAATACTTAGAATTCTATGAAGGCACTACTCCACTGAATATCCAAAACCACGAGAGTTGTTCTTCAAGATGGAAGAAACATCTTCAGCCAAGTTTGAACAAATGACATCAAACATTGTTAGCAACTGCATGTAGACATGAAAGCGGTGCTAATTACTACGACGAAGTAAGTGTTTTTACAATTTATTTTAAATATTTAATTATATTACATTTAATTTCATAAATTAATTTCCTTTAATTTTTGTAATTATATTTTCTAAGTACGCCAATTGAAGGAATTGTATATGGAGAGCAGCTGGAAACCTCTTCAGTTTCACAGTTGTTGGGAAATTTGTGAATGGTGGGTGTTATTTGAAGATCTACCTCAACATAGAGCTCCTACGTCGATGTTTGGAACTGCATCCTCAGCTTTAGATATGGATGAAGATGGATCTCCTACCATTCAACAAACAAGGGTAGAAAATCCGTCTTCGGGTGAAGGTTCCATACCTAGGGCCATGGGACGAAACAAGGTGCGAAGTTTGAAGGAAAAGGGTAAGGCAAATGATGATTACGCCGCTCAACATAAAGTGGTGGCCTCATTGCGATTAATGGCAGAGCAAAATGCCCTTGAGGCGGAAGAAAGGAAGTGTAGGCATGAAGAACAGGCCAAACAAATACAAGAAGAGATGGATGATAAGAATATGGAAAGGAACACTTCAAATTACACTCCAATGAGTAAAGCTTATTTTGATAGGAAAAAAAAAAAACAAAGAAATTATGACTCAGTGGCAGTTGTTTACCTCTTACTATACTCCTACAATGACGGATGATGAAGATGATATTGATTATGGATATTAAATTTAAGTTGTTGTAGTGTTTAAATTTAAGTTAATGTTGTTTTTAAATTTAATTTGTAGTTTCTAAATTTAATTTGTCGTTTTTAAATTTAAGTAGAAGTTTTTAAATATAACTTGTAGTTTTTAAATTTAAGTTGTTGTAGTTTTTAAATTTAAATAATAAATTATGTTTGGCCCTATGGCCCTTTGACCCTCGGTTGGAGACAATTTTTTGTGATAGTGCTAAAATGAGCCATATGGCCCTTTGACCATCGGTTGGAGGTTTTTTGTGACAGGACTAAAACGAGCCATATGGCGATATGGAGGCAAATATGGCCATGTAATGTTCATTAAAATATTAATATCTTGGAGGGCTAGGGGGTTAAAACGAGCTATTTGGCCAGCCCTCAGTTGGAGATGACCTTATTTAAACAAATTTTGTAAAAAAAAAAAAATTGAAAATAACGGCTAGCTGACGTCAGCAGCTAGCCATTGGGTTTTTGAAATCTGGCCCGGCTCGAGGTCGGCTGACTAGCTCATTTGGGCCGCCCCGTTGGCCCTTTTTTGTCTAGTGAGGCCCACAATGCCTCTGCCCTGATCATCGGTTGGAGACCGTTTTCGGGCTATTTTTGGTCATCTGGACCCTTCGGTTAGAGATGGCGTAAAGTAGCAGGTCCTAACAAAAGGCCACACGACGGCCTATTAATTGGTGCAAAGTTTTATAATACAAAACCTCGATAACATTAGTAATTATTCTACCACTTATAAGTTAATCTATTCAGCATCTGCTCTTCTAAATACGTAAGTCCAATAACCCCTCCCCATCCTTTCAAAAAGGATAATCGATATTATCCTTCAAGATAAACGGGAACTAGGTGATTGTATACCTTAAGATAAAAAGAGCAATAGTTATTCAACGGTGTTTATAATATCAGTATTAGTAAAAACATTGATATTTAAATTTTTGAAATTATTGTTAGATATATCGAATATCGATATTGGTTTTAGCCTCAACAGAAATGAAAGAAATTTAAAATGAAACTTTAGAAATTGCAAAACACTAATTTGAACGAAATATAAAAGTCTATTCGATATTTAACAAATGTGCCAAAAAATATCTGTTAATTTTAGTCTAAGCTCAAACATTTCTCCCATATAAAATGAAGTGCAGTTCAGATTTTACCCTCTATTTAACTTTTCAATCATATTAAAGAAATTTTAAATATTAATTCTAATCTACAGTAGCAAATAAATTTTACCACGTAACCGTCGTATCATCCCATTTCTCCCTCTCTCTCTCTCTCTCTCTCTCTACATTCTCTCGTAAAGTAACGGAAGATTTTCGAAAAACACAGAGTAAAAGGTGTTTTGTTTCCTTCTCATTTTAGTGATTTTCCTTCCTTAAACACCCTCAGAAAAGACGAGAGAGAGAGAGAGAGGGAGAGGTGATGTATCTTATTGGATTTGTAGTGTTGGGCATCAGAAATGAGGGAGGGATGGGAAGAGAGGTGGTATGGGATGAGTGCATTTTTGCTAACCAATATTTAGTGTAGTGTATGCTAATCACTTTATTTATCATCGTTAGATGAGTTTAAATTTTGAGATTTGTACTTATCCACTACATGAATCTAAAAATTCAAACTCATCTAATGGTAATAAATAGGGGGTGAGCATACACTACACTAAATGATGGTGAGAAAAAATGCTCCTGTATGGGATGAGACAAGAATAAGAAATTTTTTAGTGTGTTTGGCTAGCACATTAAATGTTATTATATAAGTGGTTAAAAAGATTTTATCAAGTATACAGTCATGAAATTTCTTTATTTTTGAAGTATCTAATCATTTGAATTAGAGAACTTTAACGAAAAGCATCCGGTACTGTTCACTTTAACGAAAAATTACATTTTTATATTAAAAAGTCAATCATGATACTATTCATTTTACCTTTTATTTTGTCCTTATCGTTAGTTTTCCTTTTGAATTATAAGACTTAGTTTACCTGAATGTATTTTGACACACTGAAAAATCTCTAAGTGAAAAGGGGATTTAATTGGGAGGCAGATTGTCTGTCCTCTTGATTGGTGTCATTTCCATCCCCTCATATTTTGTGCGGTCCCGATTAAACCATGTTAACATTTTATATTAATTTTTTATAAAAATAATAAGACAAAAAACAATAAAAATATAAAATGTTAACGTGACTTAATCATAACTATATAAATAAAAAAGGATGAGAAGGACATCCCCAGATAATCTGCCCCTCCATTTAATTGGGGGTGAGCGTGGACAGGAAGGCAGGCAAGAAAAGAGTGAAGGGGAGGGTTTCATCAGAACCGAGGGAGGGGGAAAAGTGGGGAGAGGAATAAGTATGATGATGATACATGATCGGGTTTGATATCCATCCTTTGTAAAATATGCCTCCTGTAGCCTTCCCTCTACGAGTAGGATTCCAACCATCAGTCGATTCTGTTCAGATTTCTTCTCTGCCGTCTTCTCTTCTCATTTTCTTTTTAACCTAACTTACCCTTCTCTCTCTCTCTCTCTCTCTCTCTCTCTCTCTGAAAAGAGTACTGAAACCTAGCTCTCAATAAATTAATTACACCCACAACCTCCCATCCCATTTATTGTGAGCACGTAATAAAATAAATAGAACCATCTGCCCCTCCTAACCCTAATCAGCCTTCACTCCTCTCCAATATATACGTACGTTATCGCTGTCCATCTCCATCTCTTTCTGTGTTAGAAGAATTGTATGCGTGGGTCTCGTGGCGAGCTCTGTAAACGTGGATGATCACGTGGGTTTCGCAAAGCGTTTCTTACAGAGTTCTTTGGCATTCTGTCCACCTCCTCTTTCTTCGATCTCTTTCTCCCTCACTTGCTGTGTATGTATGTGGTTTAATGGATGGAGGTGGGCATGCTGCCAACAGAGTTCTGTTGGCTTCTCTTTGTAAAACCCTCGTGAGGGTATATGTATATATGTATCGTTGCGCAGTACTCGATCTTCCTCGAGACACAAGGGTAAGAACTATTCATCTGCAACGGCATCAGTTTCTGGTGGTGCTGCTAATCCTGATTCCCCAGTTCATTACATTTTCCTATTTTGTACAAATCAGATGTTTTTTTTTTTCATCCCATAATTGATTGGTCTGTTAATTAGCAGGGTCCAAGAATTATGTTGCCTGTTGAGCACTCTTGAACAGCGCAACCATCACCAGTGTACTCTTGAAATTTGTTTCTGTTTGACCAATTACACTTCATTTTGGCTAATTTTCTTTTTAATAATTGATTGGTGCCGCGACTGCTGATGATTGGGAAGTAGCTAGCTAATGGAACCCTAGTTTCCGATTGTGTTTTGCTTACTTGTGTAGATATATACCCAATTTCTGAAATCTTTAGTTTCTTACCTCATCAATGAGGGGATCAATTTTACTCTACAAATATTTGGTAGTATTAATCCGATCTATCTATAGTTAGGGTTTTCTGAGCCTATTTCTGTTTGTTCTTTGTTTTTTTTACAAGGGAGCGGGACAGAGGGGGCCCAAACAACGTAACCAAATCAATTAACCTATAGCTAGGGTCATCAACTCCTAAGAGATCATATCGGGGGACGCGAAGGAAGCAAGACGAGGGAGGTCAAGGACTCTAAACAAAGGTAGCATTTGATGATGGACAAGAAATATCATTAGAACGCTGTCAGACCAAAAGTGATGGCTAAGGCTTCCTCAAGTGTTGTTATCTTTGACATTAATGTTATCTTTATTAGCAGTGATTCCTGTTTCTTTTCTTTTCTTTTCTGATGTGTAATGATGCTGATTACAAGATTAAATCAATACCAATACAAAGGGGTATATTAGTGATCATGGCATGCATGCATGCCTGCCACAGTTGTGTTTAGTGTCAGTGATTTGTGTTTTAATTATGGTTTTCTGGTGGACCAACGTCTTTTAATGTCACGACTGATGAGGCCATTGCAGCCCTACCACTTACTCAAGTCGAGAAGAAGGAGAATGCGTTTCTACCGTCTGATATCTTCCACTCTTCTCCCCCACGGCCTGTACCTATTGCCATAATACCTACATAGCAACGCAGAGAAGAAACATCACCCCACACACCCCTCTTTTGGCTCGTTCGTGATTGACGGTTAATTACCATACAACTTGGGTGATGGGTGATAGTTATCACCACTTGCATTTCTTCGACTTCTTTTGGAGCGTCTCTATAACGTCATTATAAACAAATGGTTCAACTGGTTGAAGGCAAAAACGGAAAAGGAGAAGAAATGATTAATGCGAGCCTCCTACATGCCTAATTAATTTTGAATAAACGCCATGCAAAATAGAATAATTAGTGTTTTCTGGAGTGGAGCGGGATCGCTTTCCGCTGTGGTGGGCCGGTGGTCACAATCCTTCGTTGGCTATATGCCCCTCAACGCCTTACCTGCTTGCCACTCACATGCGGGTTACATCACGAGCTCAGTCAATATTCCTTGTTTTTATTCAAAGAGTAATCTTTCCTCCGTTGACCTTAATCCCAGGGCAACTGTGGTAGAGGACAATGTGAAAAAATAAGGAAAATTACCATGTTCTGCAAGGCTGCAAGTGATGAAAAGGAAATCTGCAGTTTCACTTTCACTTCACTCACCTAAGATATTATTCTTCGTCTTCATGATTGATGAAAGCACGTTTAATCCCTTCATCTGTTCAAGGAAAAGCATTGGAACGAGAACCACCACCATCACTATTGCCATAGTTTACAATAAAGTTTTGAAAAGAAGAAAGGTTTTTAATTAATAGATTAAAACTCCTCATGAACCTATATAAGTACTGCCCACAGAGACAAATGATGTTGAAATCTATCTTTAGTTTAGACATGATGATTTCCCACATCTCTGTAAACCCATTAAATACAAACAAGTCAGTAATTGTAATCCAAAAAAAGTGATAGGTTTACATATATCAGTCTTGTACAATAAAATGCGCAAAACAAGTGCACTCAATGGTTATATATTAGGACCTGGCTTCTCTACCCTCCCAGTTTCCATATATTTCCATTCCCTCCTATTTACATAGTTACGGTTAAGTCACGTTAATATTTTATATCACTATTGCTTTTTGTCTTACTATCTTTATAAAAAAATTAATATAAAATGTTGACATAGTTTAACCGTAACCGTACAAAATAGGAGAGGATGATAATGTATGGAAACTAGGAGGGCAGAGAAGCCGGGTCCATATATTAGATCACCGTTCAAGGGTCGTTGTTCTAAAAAATAACTATATAGTTGTCTAAATACAAAATAAAAATGAAAATAAGTAAAATCAAGTAGGTAACCCAATTAATTTAACCAAAGAGAGACTATACTAGTGTACCACTTCATGTGTCAAGTGACTCAGTACAAACAACATTCAATAAGATAAATTCATTAATTTATGTGACAAGTACACATCACTTGTCACGTCATATGATATGCCAATATTATTAGAGAACTTTAATGAAAAGTTCTCGGTACTTTTTATTTTAATGAAAAACCATATTTTTACACTAAAAAATCAATCCTAGTACTATTCACTTTACCCTTTATTTTGTCATTTTCGTTAAAACTCAAAGTTTTCAAACATTTTTTCCATTAGTTTTCCCATATTATTATCATGTGCATCTAGTATTTGTCATTGTGAATTATAATTGTGATATCGGTGTTGCACATTGACACTACTAATATTATTATATTTGGTGGTACTCTTTTTACTAAAAGAATTGTGCTCTTTTTACCAAAGAATTGTATGATTGCATCACATATTTGTGTCCATATGGGGGTGGGGTTGGCATCATATATTCTCTCACGGGACCAAGTTAACTTTCTCTTCTTTTTACTATAAAATTGGACGATTGCTTTTATGGGTCGTGCTATTCAGAGGTGATAATACAAGTCACCTGGAACACAACACACCTTTTTCCCGCCTTTATGATAATCAGTCGCACTTTAGTCAACTGGACGTGCTTCAAGTTACTGTTTTACTCTTATCATTTTTGTTTGATGCGCATCGCTATTGGAGATATGGTCGCAACACACAAACTTTGCATAGAGGACCGCTCAATATGACAATGCTCAATAACACACTGCTTTATTTTGGGGCAGTAGCTACGGGCTAACGATACAAGAAGGTCTCAGCTCTTCCTTCCAGCGTCTTCGTTTCATGTACATCCTCCTTATCTAAGTATATAGCATTGAGCCGCCAGTCAGTTCCCAGTGCGTAGAATAAATAGTGTTTCGTCTTATAAGTAGAAGCTACATCCTACATCTATAATTAATCTTTCTAAGTTACTTGTTCCAAACAGCATATCTGTGGCCGCTGGCTGCCAGTGTCCACTCCCTACTGGCCGGGCACCATGAACTATCCCCAATTTTCATGCACACTTTCTCCCCTATTATAGCAGAGTAGAGGTTCGGCTGGGCCTCCAGGATCGTAATAGATGATCGGCTGTGAATGTCTTGACGCTTCCTGATGTCAATCTGCAGACAAGTGCCAATGCTAACAAATGAGAAACGTGTGTTCAAAAGACATCAAGTCCGAACAGGGAACTGCCTATGGCCGTATACTGCATACCAGTTTCACAATCTGATCATGAATGGAGTCACCCCAATCATAGAAATGATCGTAGAAAACTGTTGGTATTCCTGGGTGCATGAGTATGTATGCGTAACCCTGCGGAAAGCATGGACTTGGAAGTTAGCGAACTTGCACTCCAATTTTTAGGTAGGTTTAAAGAATTATTCCCATATTAATTAGAATATAGCAGCTGCCAGCAATAACAACAATGACAAGAATACTATGACATCACTACCATGCATCTGGATTTCCCATCTAAATGCAAAGCATTTGAACTTAATAAACAAGTTTTCGTACCTCCATAATATGATTTGAAGGGAAGGGCCAATGAGCCTGCAAGATAAAATGATTATAATGTGAGTAGATTTTCTACTTTCACTATGGAGCCAAACGGTCACTTTCTGAAAAGATAGGTACTACAGTAACATAAACGAGATACTTTTGTATGCAGTGAAAATGTAGTTGTATGCAGAGAGTATTAATCAGGGTTGATTAGGCCCAAACTTGACTTGTTCAGCCCAAAAGATTGTAAGTCTAAGTTCTCACTTCTCAATGATATTTACTTCAGCAGAACAGAATAGCAATCGTACCTGCGTTGAGCCTGTATCATGGTTATCTAGGAATGTGACAGCTCTTGAAGGCCACCATCCAATTAAACCTGGTGGCTTCCCTTGGGGGTCACGCAGGCGCCACAATTGTCCTTTAACAGCTTCCTGCAATGAATGCATGGATAAATGTCCAAACACCAAACAAGAAAATAGGAAGGGGTGGTGGCAACCGGAAGAAAAAGGAAAGGGAAATGGTATTCTTTGATGAAGAGATATTTTGATGAGTATGGACGTTATTACAATCTAGAAAAAAGGTAGCCAGTACTACGGATACAGCAGACTGAACATACTTGGAAGGGGTACTAGTATTCATAGAATCATAGGTGAAGAGAGATTTTGATGAAGATTGCTACATGTTTTCTTTTCTGATATATAATAAAAAGGTTCACCAGTACATGTTTTCTTATATATAAAAGGTTCACCAGGACTCCTTATTCGTGATTGCAGACGTCCATTCTTAACAAACTGTTATGTATGTTGTGTTAAGGGATGGGCTGTGGTTGGATATGCCAGTCTGTTTGCAAATGGAAGATACCTGAAGAATTCCCTTGGTTGTGAAGTCAAACGCAGTTGATAGCTGTCCAGTGCCATTAATCCAATTTACTATCCGCTGTCTGTGGCTATCTGCGTAACATTACCAATCATGATAAAGATCAAACAGTCAGCTCAATGCTAAATCCTTAGTAGAAAGAGATTTGATCCCTGAACCCATTTACGACTGCAAATCACAATACAGGTCAAATGGAAGGGCAAAAAGGAATGCTATCAACAAGGATAAGCTACCCTTTATACGGTAATATGCAGTGTCAACCTTGTTAGGTTCTTAAAGACCAATACCCTGCACATCTCAAAACCATATAATCCAATACCTTGGTTGTAATCCAGGCCATGATCGTTGTAGTTGCAAGAATCCCAATACTCCCCAACAGAAAAAATGGGTTTTGCTCCTTCAATGTATTCTTTCACATATTTTGCTGAATAACTATTGTAACATTGAAAACATGTAATGGCCAATTAAATCAAAGACAAGGAAAAAAGAGTAAGCAGTGAATAAACCCAGTTAAAAATGAAATGAAACTCAATTTTATGCATGTATATGTCTTACCCCCTTGCAAAATCAAATCGGAAATCCTGAAAACCAACATTATTAAGTAGCCACTGCAGCCATCCTCTAATATCTTTTCGAACAAAAAGTTGGCTATGATCAATATTCGGAACCCCATGGAAATTGTCACCAGTGCTTTGATTACCCTGATATATAAAATACAGAGAAATACAATGAGCTTAACAGACATTGCATCATGAATCATGCAGAGTCATTCAAGCAGTGACAGATTTCATTACCAGTCCACCGGTACAAGATGTGACAGCATGTTCATCCCATGACAATGAAATTCCATCATAGCGGTTGTACATTCCACCATGCCCTCGGGTAGTCCCAACACGATGATTGATAACTATGTCAGCCATTGCTCTAACTTTATGTTGCTTCATTTTTTGAAGTAAAGATTTTAACAAGTTCTCAGATCCATATTTAGAATTGAGGGAATATAAGTCCTGCGGAAGGTAACCTACAATAAGAGAAAAAGAAAACAAACTTGATGGTCTAATCATCTATATGCAGAAAGAATAAGAAACCAGCCTAGAAAATTTGTGCATCCAACCTTCTGGTGCAAAGGATTGAGTTGCTGGTGGCAACCATGCTGACGTAAAACCAGAACTTCCTATATCCGGAACTTTTGTTTCTAAATTTCTCCACCAATCATGTTTACGAGACTCCCAATTGAAGGCCTGTAGATATAGTTCAGTCAAACCATATTCTTGATTAAGCTGAGAGCTATAATAGCTTTAATGCAACCAAAACAATTTACCATCATTACAGTTTTAAGTTAAAAAAAAAAAAGTTTGAAACATTTTACTTATACAATACAGAACACCACAGTTTAATCACTTCAACTATATATTTTATGTATAAAATGGCTCCAACAAGTTGTTGAACATATCTTAGTATTATATGGAAACTGTCAAATTTACCTGAAAAAGGATTTCTCTTCCATTGCGCACTGCTGCACCTGCAAATGAATCCGAAAGTGTACTTTAGTGTCAAGAAAAGGAAGATACGTAAAATGTCCTCCATGAACCAAGCATTCTAATGTCAGAAAAGTACCACATTTATACGAACACAAGATAACTAGAGAGCCTAATCTATGCCTATTCAACATGTGCAGTTATAATTCTTAATGTTGGTGATTGAAATTTCCAAATTCACAAGAGAAAGTAAAATCTGCCTTTTCATACGGCCTATTTGAATCCCTTATCCCCTTTAATCACAGAGAATTAATGGAAAGCATCGCCGGGCAAAGGCAAAAGCATACCAATATCAGTCTGCTGCGCGTTTTCTCGTGAATCCTGCATTTTATGAAAAGAGAAAATTAGAGAAAAGAAGTCCTCTAATCTTGTGTGTGTGTGCGCGAATGAGTGAGAGAGATTGAGAAGGCGTGCATACATTGCTGCGTAGGTAATCCATTCGACTCTCGATGTAATTTCCCAACTCGGCACCAGATTGCAAATAAGGCACCAACAGTTATCCTACATGGATGAACAACATGAGTGCACCAAAACATTGGCCAGATGACCATAAAGCTATAAAATCCCAGTTGACTAGTACAAAAAATAGACGATATTTCGCGAGAACAAAGTCATACAGGTTAAAATTAATAAAACCAAACACGAATGTAAGCACAAGTATATTTAACTTGCTCAACTGCAAGTCTACAACTAGAAGATGATTCCATGAGCTTGAAATGTGAAAAAATGCAGGGCTTCGGACCTTTTACGGATTCTTAAATTCTTAATAACGAATTTCAAAGGGGAGAAAATAGAGACGTACCGAAGGCTCTACGGCTGGCTGCGATTGCGGTTGTGGGTTTGTGGTTGCGCCGTTGGGCAACATAAATAGCACAAACAAAAAGCTGAAAATTCGAGGGAGACCACCGAATTCGAATCACGCCGACGAACGACACAATTTGAAAAGGTGAAAAGAGAATATTGAAAGCTGTGCTGTAAAAGGAAGAAAAAGGATTCGATTGCGAAACGCGATGGAGGGAAGGGAAGGTGCGTTGGGAATGGGTTGGGGTGATCGGATGTTTGTCTTGCCATTTGGTGGGGAAGGGGAAAGGGGAAAGGGGAAAGGGGAGACGAGGATTGGAGGGAATGTTCATACTCCAAAAGGTGGCTTTCGTGCTGCAACATGAACCGTAGAAACGAGGTATGGATACATTGAAACGTGGCATTCTAGAAGGCCTTGGGCCTTAGCATTTCCCTTTCTAATCTAGGCCTATCTTTCGGCCCAACCAAAACAGAAGGACCCACTAATGCGCGTGGGCCTGCGAGACTGACTTCGAACTCCCCAAGTTCACTCGCATGATTCGCACAGCAAATTCAAGGCCACTTTCACGAGCACACCAGCAATTAAGCCAAAACAAAATAGGAAGCAAAATACGGTCTCCTTCTAGGGTTTTATCGGGGTACAGAGACAACTGCAAGTTTGCAAAATGTCTACTTCCTGTTAATTGAAATGGAGTGTCCTCCACCAACGTTAACAAGCCCCACTCACATCACTGACAATCCAGATACGAAACCCACTAGGTCACCGCCGTCGCCGCAGCCACAAGAGCCAGACCCCAAGAAGCTCAAAATGTCCACCACCACCACCAGCGACGACGAAGAAGCTACCGCCGCCACCACCAACGCCGCTAAAACGCCACGGTACAAGCGCCGAAAGGTTTCAATTTTCTTCGCTTATTTAGGCGTCGGATACCAAGGAATGCAAAAGAATCCAGGCGCCAAAACCATCGAGGGGGACCTCGAAGAAGCTCTCTACCTTTCCAAATCCGTCCCCGAGCAGGACCGCAACAGCCCTAAGCGCTACGATTGGGCCCGCTCCGCCCGCACCGATAAGGGGGTCAGCGCCGTCGGCCAGGTTGTCTCGGGCCGCTTCTATGTCGATCCGCCGGGATTCATCGACCGCCTAAATTCGAACCTTTCTCCTCAGATTCGGATTTTCGGCTACAAACGCGTCACGGCGTCGTTTAACGCGAAGAAGTTCTGTGATCGGAGAAGGTATGTGTATCTGATTCCCGTATTTGCCCTTGATCCTTCTGCTCATCGCGATAGAGGGAGCGTGTTGGCTAGTCTTGGGTCTGATCAGGAGTTTGTTAAGTGCTTGGAGTGCTCCGAGAGAGGGCGTAAAGTCGGGGGCTTGATGGGTAAGCGCACGTATGAATTGAGAGGTACGAATTTTGAGGTAAGCATTTTGTCGAACACCAATGAGTCTATGGTTGAATCTGAAATTGGTGAAAAATTTAGGGTTCTTCCCGGAAATGCTGGCGGTGATAATTTGATTTCTCAGCCTAGAAATGAAGTTAGCCTTAGTGTTCTTACGCAGAATGCTGGGGTTGATAATTCGAATTCTGAACTCAAAGCTGAAATTAGCATTAGTATTAATAAGAATGAGGTTTCTGAAATTGAGGTTGAGAATAATCGAGTGGTCCCCAATGAGGCAGAGACTGCTGATTTGAATTCCGAGTCACTGAATGATACGAATTTTAGTTTTGGTGAAGAGAAGGCTAATGAAGAAGAGAAGACAGAGGAAGGAAGTGGAAAAGGAAATGGGTTTTGTTATGGTGAGAAGGAGAGGGAAAGGTTCAACAAAATTTTGAATAGTTATGAGGGGACTCATAACTTCCACAACTTCACCACCAGAACTAAAGCTGTAGACCCCGCTGCTCAGCGCTACATCATTTCGTTCAATGCAAACGCCACGGTTACAGTTGAGGCTATGGAATTCATTAAGTGTGAAGTTGTAGGGCAGAGCTTCATGCTTCATCAGATTAGGAAGATGATCGGGCTTGCGGTGGCAATCTTCAGGGGATGTGCTCCAGAGTCATTGCTCGAAAGAGCATTGCAAAAGTAAGTATTTGGATGATCATAGTATGTTTGTGTATGCTTTTTGTTTTTTTGACTTTCAGAAAGCATGTATGTTTAACGCACAAAAATTCAGGGATGTTAACATCAATGTGCCGACAGCTCCTGAGGTGGGATTGTACTTGGATGAGTGCTTCTTTTCGTCATATAACCAGAAATGGGGAGACAGTCATGAAGAGCTGTCAATGAAAGGCTATGAACAAGAGGCAGAAGACTTCAAGATGAAGCATATATACACTCACATAGCATCCACTGAGCATAAAGAAGGTGTTGTGGGTCTCTGGTTGCACTCCCTCAACCACCGTAACTATCCGGATTTAGGTCCTTCTGAGAACAATGGAAATACCAGCAGCGGAATAAGTGCTGATACGGGTAATGTCGTTGCCGAGTAAGTTTTTTTTCCACAGGGAATCCGATTTCTGCAATGTATGCCTTTTATTTCTTCAATGAATACAGCATCTAGCTCTTATGTCTTTTAGGGAAAACAAAAGATGTGGGCCAGTTTCATTCATGATTTAGGTTACTTGCTGTGCAATTCTTCTTAGAGAGAAATTTATGATTACAGAAGGGTTTTATGAAAGTTGATTTGTCTCGCAGGTTCCTTTCTCTCCTAATTTTTTTTTTTTCCCGTGGTTCGTCATATCCATAGCCGATGGACGTGCATATATTTTTTAGGAGAAAATTGGGACATTGACCCTTAAACTACGGCCAAGTTGTATCTTTGGCTTCTGAACTTACATTCCGTTAGCATCAATATTTGAATTTGGAAAAATAAGGGACGTTGGTCTTTCAAGTGAAAATTTTCATCAAAACGAAGCACGTGAACCGTACGTGAGCCTTTTTTAGAAGAGTAAATGGGGAAACTCACTGTACACAGATGTCCGTTAACTTTGACAGAACAGAAGTTCACAGAGAATTGATTGAGAAGAGTTACATTATGGGCCTTGGTTTAACGGCCCAGTTTCATTTCCGAATTCCAAATCGAGCGACTTTCCCAATGGTCCAATGTCAACTCAGGTGTCGTGATTCTCGTGAATAGATAAATAATTGTTAAAGTTAGAAGAACAGGGGGTGGATTGGTGGGGATCCTTCGTGTCTACCCGCGAAAATGGGGGTGGATTGGACCCAACTACCACCAGAACTCGCCGAATCAATCTCCAAAAAGCTCACAATCTACGCCGACTACCTCCGATTCCGAGTTGTGTGTCACAGCTGGCGAGCCTCCGTCCCCAAAACCCCGCACCACCTCCCTCCCCAGCTCCCCTGGCTGATGCTCCCCCAATCCCAGCCCAACCAATCCCACCGCGCCTTCTTCAACCTCTCCAACAGCAGAGTCCACTTCCTCCACCTTCCAGAAGCTTCTCACCGCAAGCGCCGCTGCGGCTCCTCCCACGGATGGCTCGTCATCCTCGACGAAACACCTTCCGTCCTCCTTATTAATCCCCTCACGCGCGCCAAGCGCCACCTCCCTCCGCTCTCCACCTTCCCCAACGTTGTTCGATTTGATTACTCCGAAGTTGGCCGAGAATACGCCCTCCGATCCCCGTCTGGTGACGTCTACACGCGCAGCCTGACGCAAATGCGCGATTCGTTTCTGAAAAAGGTCGTCCTTTCATCTAGTTCTCTGGAAGCCAACGGTTTCACTTTCACAGCCGTAGCGATTGTCAATCAAACCGGCGACTTGGTGTTTTGCAGGGAAGGAGACCTGTCTTGGACTTTGATCGACGGCGCACGGTCGTATTCCGAGGATGTCATATCTGTCAACGGCTTGTTTTACGCCGTCGACAAGAAGGGAACCGTGGTGGTGTGTGATGTTAATGGTCCGTCTCCGTCTAGGGTTGGGATTATCCGAACGCCGAGACTAGAGGAGGCCGACATGCGATATTTGGTGAGTTCAGGGGATGATTTGTTATTGGTGAGTCGGTATTTGGAGATTGATTACGGTTTTCTGGTGGACAGTATAAATGTAAATTACAGGACAGCAAAATTTGACGTTTTTAGGATGAATTGGGCGGGGGAGAGGTGGGACAAGGTTGAGAACTTGGGTGATAGGATGGTGTTTATTGGCGAAAACTCATCGTTTTCATTGTCGGCGTCTGATTTTCCGGGAAGTCTTGGAAATTGCGTTTATTTCACAGACGATTATTCGGAATCAAACAATGAGAGCGGAGTTGGGGGATATGATTCGGGAATTTTCAAATTATGGGATGAAACAATTCAAGAGTTGCCCCCTTATCCAAGGAATTCGAATTATGAGGTGCATTGGCCTGCCGGCTCTCTACCTCTTTGGGTAACTCCAAATCCATGCTGATGCAGTGAAGGCAGGATCATCATTTCAATTGAATGGTAAGTAATCGCAGTTATCAGGTGTTAATCATAATGTTAAACAACGGTTTGTATATGATATATTTTCTGTTTCATATATTTGTTTATGATGTGTGTACAGCCGCTCTTAGAATTCCATGTAACAGTTGACTCTCTACAGTAATCCGGTATATGTCAATGTTTAATAACGGAGATACCACCGTTGTGTATCAACTCCCTGGTAACTTTAGTGATGTTTACATGATTTAAACTCTGATACGTCACCGGATGTGTATCTCTGAGTACAAAAGAGGATATGATCCGGTTACATGGCAGATTCGCTCGTCTCAAAGCGACTGTGATGTACAATAACATTATGGTGGTGATTAGTTTTCGTTTTGCAGAATAAAGTTCTGGACCTCTGGTAGGGAACTGGGAATATTGGTAGAGGGATTCTCCGTTTGTGCTGAAATTATTTCATAATTGGAATTGAGCACCAAAGAGCTGTGGTGATTTGCACGTTACCTATTTACTTCACGTGCTTGGCCGGACGACAGGTTTCATATTTTGTCCTTTAGCTATCAGAAGTGGCCTTTTGGGGCCGGTATCTTTGTCCCAGTTTGGTGCTTGTTAGTTAACCAGGACAAAACCTTTTTGTATATTATGTGATATTGTTGACTCTAAAAATTACCAAGCTCGCAGGTCGAGTAATTAATAAGTTAACTACGTCCTTCGGTTGTGTGCGGGGCGTGCTAACTCGTCGGCCGACCTCGGCTGGGGAGTAAAATGTGTTGATGTTGTGTTGAAGCGCACTACTGACTTCTTGATCTTGGGACTGCGGCCGAGGAAGGAATACGTCTCAGCCTTCGGGTTCTAGATCCTGAAGACAAGGCTGCTAGTTCTGCGAAGTTCAATATCAAATTCGGCTTTCAATGTGTCGAATGTAGTAACCTGGTAACACCTCACTTCGTCAAAAAGGCTGATGAGATGACCTCTACCAACAAGGACTCGAAAATCCTTGTTGACCGAGACTTGGATAGGTAATCAGTCGATCGAGAAACAATGCTGTTTATCCAAACTAAAGATGCTCATTGATTGGCTGATTCTTCGGCTCTAGTGCTATTTATCCAAACTGAAGATATCGCCGGTTGCCTTCACAGTACTGTTTATCTAAACTAAAGATGTGTCGGCGGGAAAAAAAAAATAAAAATCTCAAGGTTATTGAGAGGTTTCGCGTAGAGCGAAAGTTTGCGCAGGGCAGTTTGTGTGTTGAATTGGAGAGACCTTTTTCTGTTGCCATTGCCTCTGTATTTATAACGCTACTCTCGCTGATAGTCCAAGCCGTAAATTTATGAATCTCGTGATGTGTCACGATTACTAGAAAATAATCCCTTAGTCTTCTGATATATCACGACTACCAAAGAGTAATCTCTGAGTCTCCTTACGCCACAAGTCTTTAATATTTAAATACATCACATTTGACCAAATAATAATGGCTTTATCCATTATCACATGATCAATGGTCAAAAAACTACCACGCCATTATCTTCTGCTAATTTGTCCTTCACATCATGTCCATCGGTTGAAGCCTACTCCTTTGTTTATCTATATAATCATCCCAAGCACATCACATCACTATCTCGCAATTTCACCTTCATCTCATGCATAGATTAATTGCATGAAATTAATCCAGTAGTAGATGCATTTAGACTTGTAAACGGGTCGGGTTCAATTCGACCCGTTAAGTTAATGGGTCATCTGAACCACCCGTTAAGCTACGGGTCATCTAAATCTGACCCGTTAAACTAACGGGTCACCCGATAACAATTATTATTTTTTTTTTTGCATAGTTTATTTTTTGTTGTTAAGACTTTACTAAAATTACTAAAACATCATCAACTAACGGGTGTTAACGGTTGACCCAAAGTGACCCGTTATTTAACAGGTTCACCTGTTAACGATCCGACCCGACCCGTTAAGCATCCACCTAAATATTAATATTAACGGGTCGGATCGGGTTAACGGGCCGAGTCCAAAATGCCAGGTCTAGATGCATTGCCGTATGCCGAATATCTCTAATTAATTTGAACTGTAGGTTAGAGATATTATTTGCATCACGTTTATCTAGTTTAAGAAGAAGCCAAGATAATTCACATTCAAACATAATTATCATGATAAAAATCATAATATTATCCTTTAACAATAACAAAATTATCTTCACTTTTCTATCCGACAATTGGAAGCTATGCTCATTCAACGGCCTTGATTGCACGGACCGATGATGTAAATTTGGGTCCAAACAGATATATAGGGAGGGCAAAAGCGATTTTGATTTTGTTTGACTGAAAAACTTAACTTTGGTTGGCTCATTGAATCGTTTTCTGGATTCGCACCTGCGTCAAGAAGGGCTTGGTACAATTTTTTAGTAAAAACACTTGTAACAAAAACGCATCAGAGCACAAGGGTTTCTTGCAACCGATTCTAGAGTAGAGAGTCTAATGCGATTATAGCGCAGACATTTTAACTGAGGCACTGAGTACGAAACAGAAAACAAACCGGTTCTTTTCAAACTTGAATTTTTTGTACAATTTGAAGTTACTGTGAACAACCTAACGCAAACTGGTATCCTCCAATATAGGTGCAACCTAGCTAGGCAATACAACGCATGGAGTACATAGACACAGCAGACGAATCCAGCATGGACGATGTCGTAGAAGACGCCAAAGAGGAAGGCCCGTAGACTCTGGGGTGATCACTCTCTAATCCATAGTCCATCATCGGACGGTACTCCAGCTGCTCATCGTAATCGTACACGAAATCCGGAACTTCCACCTCATTCCTCCGCACCTGAACCCACAGAAACTCCAGCCTTGTCACATACTTTAGCTTCTTGTACAACCTGCAGCTCCACCAATAAAAACCACAAGCCACGCATCACCACTACCATTCACTAACATGCGCCGTGGCCCGTGGGTCAACGTTTGATAAAATTGTTAATTAATATTTGTCGTATTAATTATCATCCTAATTAAATATGCATTGATGTTTTTAAATTAGTTTTACGTACGTAACGTACCCTCCGGTGAAAAGGAGACGACCAAAGGTGGCAAGGAAGAGCTTGGCCTGCAATCCTGGGTGAAGAAAGTAAACGGCTTGGAGGCGATCCTTGATGGCGGTCGGAATTGCCTCGTAGATGGATCTCAGGGTTGAAATTCCGGGAAAGTTATCGCCGCGATTCACATCTGTGTGAACGTACACCACCGTGAAGAAGGCTTTGTCACCTAACTTTGGGAATATTTTCTCCTCCAAGTACTTGTTCACAGCCTCGTTGCTCACGCTTCGAGCTGGTCATGAACATTTAACATAACCATAGTAAATTCAGAGTACCCAATTAGTAAAGTCCTAATTAAGTAACAAATATTTGTCTGAGTTTGGTAGCGTCGGCTTATAACTAAGGAGAGCACTAAAATAAAAAGGTACGGATTCTAGAGAATAATTACCTGGAAAGAACTTTCCGACGATGCGAAGAACCTTTCGACCATGTTTGTCCCGGCCTTGGATCTTAAAGACTTGAAGTTTCTCAAGGAGGTGTTGCTGGTCCGATATTGAGATTGTTGGTATACAAGGAGGAGAAGAATGGTTCATTTTTACAATTCTGAACTTTCCCGATAGACTCTAGAGAGTGTGAAAAAGTAACCAGAATAATTTCTGGAAACGGAAAACCAAAAGTGTGAAAAAGTAAGAGGGAGGGATAAGGATTGCTTTTGCTTTTGAGTTTTGGGAGGGAAAAGATGATAAAGTGTTGCGGCAAAGTGCAAAGCATGCAGGGTTTCTGTTTGTCTGAATTATATAGTGAGGAGAAGGAGTTGCAGATTAGGGTATGGTTAATGGGGCCCAATCAAACGAGCGTGATGGAAGATGGATGGTAATGATGAGGGAGGGCACTGAGGACAATGAGGAGGGTATATTCTTAAGAATCTTCCGAATGGATATTGAGCCGATCGAGTCTGGCTAACTCTGAATGCATGGTGTAACTCGGTGCAGTTACTTTGCCAAGTTTGCAAAGTGCCAGTGGATGTGGAGTGCCCTCCCATATTTGGTCTCTTGGATCGTAATTCGTATGGATATTGGATTCAATGGATGGTTGATATTTGATCTACTTGTAATCGTCTACGTTCATAGTTGTACTTATGATAAATAGTAAGAACAAATTACAATTCCATTACTTTGAAAAGAAAAAAAAATTACAATTCCATAACCTTGTATACTTAGAAATGGATTGATCTTACATATGAAATGCTAGATGCTTCCACTTATCAACATTTAAATTTGTGAAATTTACGCGTCCAAGATAAATTAACTTTCAATCTTTGCAATAGGATTAAGGAAACAAATCTCTAAATAAGGGATGTTAACCCAACTAGACCATGCTCTTCAAATCGATATTAGTTGATAGATATGTCCATATAAAACAAGTGTGTATGGTTGAAAAATGAAACAGATAAAGCAAGCCATAATGTTTTGGCAATGAAAGAGACCCACTACTACTCGTTGAATCTCGATTGATCAACAGGCTATAATCTAATGTATATACATTAGGTACCTAGCTAAACGATATATACAACAAGGTGTAGCATGCATCGTTTGAAAGGTCCATGACAACATCTTGACAATGTGGCCGGATGGTTAATCAAGTTTGTTATTTAATTATATGTATATAAGAGCTCGCCCTCCCCTTAAACAAAACAAAGGAAAGGGCTGTTGGATGGTTGGAGTTGGATCCATTATCCAATTGGGAGGAATGAGGAACAGAAACAGGACTCATCATTCATTTGGTGGGATAAGAGTCCCACTTCCACCATGCTTGTGTCGTATGGAGCTAGTTTTGGAATTACGCCATGGAGATGGAGCTACGCAGCAAATATTAATATTTAATTAATTATCAAGTAAACGATGATAGAGGTCTCTATCAAATGAATATCTGAAATCCATTCTTCTAATCTATATAAGCGTTTGAAGAAGACATATGTGATGTATTACATGGATAAAAAAAGAGGTTGAAGAAGTTGAAGAATATAGGAAAACATGAAAGGATAGGGGCATTCCGAGAATTGAACTCGGGACCTCTCGCACCCAAAGCGAGAATCATACCACTAGACCAAATGCCCTCATCGATACTTCATTAACTTTTGAACTTTAATATTCAAGGTATTATAAGTTGGGGAACAAAACAAAACAGAACAAAACATGCTGTGCTAAGCCTTCATCTAATGAGTGCAAGAAGTTGGAGTTGCTTCCAAAATGTTACGAGGCATTTCGAGCACTGGATATTAAGCCCTGGATTACTATCGATTATCAGAGACCACATATGGAATAGTACTAAACAGGGAAAATTGACCAAACTATATGTTTTGGGCTATCGATTTCGGCTCAGTTTTAAGCCCATGAAGGGCAGAAGAAGATGACATGATTGCATCCACCCCCTTACATAGTTGCATTAAGTGGGGAGAGTGGGGGATTTAAATAAAGTTATATAATAAATTGGTATTAAAATTGACATTCATGTGAGTCTAATCTAAGATTTTACATTTATAAGTAAATAAGAATATCATTACCCTACAGTACTAAATGACAAAAAATTGGATTTACTTCATCCTTATGACTTTTAAAGGCAATAATTTCCTATTGCATCCCATTATAGGGGAATTTTTTACTTCGTTTCTTTGTAACTATAAATCACTATATGATGCGTACATAAAACTAACCCTTTAAAATTTCTTAATTTCAAACATAACAATTATGATATAAAATTGCGGTTTTTTTGGCAAAAAACTTTTAAATACCATAATTACAATTGTATCCCATTATTTAACTTAACTGTAAATCATTACTGGTCTGAAATAGACATCATCACAACCCAGAATCGCTTTAAGAAATAGAGGACATACAGTTGACCTACCCCAAGAGGTCAACTACTATTCTAAATATAGTAAACGGAGAACCATTGTTCATCAGAAGCGCCCGAGTGCTGGAATTGTTATCATCATTGAAGTCAACATTAGTTAAACAATATTTACCATAGCTCTGGTTAGACAATATGTACTGCGGTGCTGGGGGTTGAGCCTTTTGAATTTTAAAACTACCTCATTAAAATCACACAAACTATATCTTAAACATATCACATTATGATTTGTCTACCAGAATAAAATTACTCTTCAAACATTAGGGGGCAAATGTTACTCCCACAGGATTATTAATGATAATTGATAAGTAGTGGAGAGATAAAATGAGACCGATCAGCATAAATGATGAAAAGGGTTTTCGCGCACGGCAATCTTCAACCACCATGCAGTGATGCACATAAACCACCAAACATGTACTATCTGGTATTTGCCAATGGATAAATCCGGGCCCCAAACAGCGTATGGACCGGAGTCAAATAGTCAAACTTAATCGACGGTCCAGATAACGTGCATGGATAAGCTCCCGATGGGGTTGAATGCACTGGAAACAATCAGAGAAGGGTGGTCAGATATCTACCAGCAGATGTACGCCAAGATTTTGTTTCAGTCAACAGTTTCATAGGCACAACAGAAACCCCTCTACTCTCTCTCCCCTTGAGGGTGCATGTCAAACCTCCTCTCTCGGACTTCGCACAAAGACAAGAGAGAGAAGTGAGGTTTCTCGTTCCTCCTCTCTTTCCATCACTCTCTCTCTCTCTCTCTCCTCTGTACTCAGAGAGATATTACACGGAGAGAGCAAGCTAGTTACGTACAGCTGCAGAGATGTCAGTCTTCGAACAACTCAAACATTACCCGGAGGGGAGAGAGAGTAGAGAGAGAGACAAAGAGCAATTAATTAATTAGCGTAAGAGGAGGTTTCGAAATGACAGAAAAAACCAGTTTGGCACAAGCGTTACATTACATCTCACGCGTCCCAATTTCTTTTTCTTTTCTTTTTTTTTTTAATTTATTGAAAAACAGCTTTGGTCAGAGTATTTACTGTATTGCTTAATTACACCTTAAGCTTGTTCCGGAAATCATCGCGTTCTTCACCCTTCATACACTCTTCACTCTTTACTTAAAATTGTTCTATCTCATTATTGTTTTCTTTACTTTTATCCTTGTTGGTGGTTTTCCGGCGAGGGTGTGGCGGAGAAGAGGAGGAGGAGGAGATGTCGCCGGTGGCGGGGAGACGGAAGTCGTGGAATGGGGGGTCGCAGCTGCAGGGTGTGCATTATCCAGCACCACTTGCCACTCATGAGGAGGTCGTGAAAAACGCTGTTGTTTTTTGGGACACTCTCCGGCGCTTCCATTTCATGATCAATACCTCCAAGTTTATGTAACCCTACCCTTCTTCTCCTTCTCCTATTTTTTTTTATTTTTTTTAATTTTATGCTCCGCAAAATTAATTTATTGTTGGGGATTTGAGTATGATCAGAAATTAATTTATATAACGTGGCTTTTTGTCCCATCTTTCTAATATTTGTATCTTTTGCCTTTTTTTCCTCAAGGGTTCCTGTGATCGGAGGGAAGGAGCTAGATTTGCACATATTATATGTGGAGGTAACAAGGAGGGGTGGCTTTGAGAAGGTTTGGCTATTTATCCAGATTTCATCATTTCACTACGTTGAATTATTATTGTTTTCAATTAAAAAAAAAGATAAAAGAAATTCAAATGTGTTAATTATATATGTAGGTAGTTGCAGAGAAGAAATGGAGGGAAGTGGGAGGTGTTTTCATGTTCTCCCCCACAACAACGAGCGCATCGTTTGTGCTGAGGAAACACTACTCAACCCTTCTCTACCATTACGAACAGGTTCACTATTTTAGGACACAGGGTCCTTTATCTACCCCAACACCCTCAGGTATTCATTTACTTCTTACTGCTCTGGTTTTTTACCCTCTTTTTTCTACTGAAGCAATTGGCTTCTGCTTTTTGTATCTGGACTGCGGATATCATGACCTTTTTGCTCATAAGTGCTTCCTTTTTCCGGTATCTTTTTGCTCTACCGGCTTTTGCCTTTATATTTTTAGTTTTTGTTTCAGCATCTTCCATTTTATTAGTAACCGTTCTGAGTATGCAGAGAAACCAGAACTGGCGCTGGTGGAATATTCCCCCAAAGGCAAAGGGGCCAAAGGGAGCAAACCGATAAATGGTTGTCCGCTTTTGGTCACTGATGAAGGTATATTATAGGGTTCATTTTGTTCGATACAAAATGATATCGGATAAGGTGATTTCAATCACACAACCATTCACCACAAATGTTTGATATGGTTTTTCTGCCCCCCAACATTTTCGTATTTTTTTAATACTCTTGTTTATTTAAAAGGAATATTTAGCAAGCTTTATCATGAGGATGTTGCATTTTCGATTTAAAGACGGTTTTGGTCACCATATGAATTAAAAAAGTTGACGATTCATCATAAGGATGTTACATGTTACCATAGCTGTCAATTTATTTAACATATATGGATGACTAAACAATCTTCAAATTAAATAAAGTTTTTAAAGACGACCTTTTAAGAATATTACAAAATCGAATGGGAAGTGTTATTAGCACTTCAAAAATCTCAATTTACACTCCTTACAAGTGTATTTTTCTTTCCTAATATAGAAAGATTGGATTGTAGAATGAGATTTTTGGAGTCACAAGTGTATTTTTCTTTCTGAATATAGAAAGTTTGGAGTGTAGAATGAGATTTTTAGAGTGTCGATAACAATTCTCAATCAAATAGTTTCAATTATAATGTTTCGATAATAATATAATGCAACATCATTATCAAGGGAAGAATAAGGCTATAAACATAAGAATTTAAGTTTTGTTGTTGTTGTTACGACATTTTTGTTGCTTTTTAATTATTTATTTATTTAAAATTATGTGCATGTAGAAAGCTGAGTGGATTTGAGTTTTATTTTCCAGGGCCCCACTCCTATCTTATGTAACAAATATGCGGCTCCTAGCAATGCAGGCTCCATATAAAATTTTAACTTTTTGGCAGACATTTTGTATTTCACAATATGCATTGATGGATCGATATCACCCCACGCATATGACATGACAGATATGGGAGTGAGACCATTTTAATCCCACGTTTTTGACGAATAATTATGTTGCCTCGTATCATTCACAAATGAGGTTTTTGTTTGGAGCATGTAACTAAGATCTAGACCTGTGATCTATCTATTTTGAACTTAATTAAGGTTAATTAGCATAATAACATGCCCATGGTGAATTTTTTTTTCAGGTAGTGGAACAATTGATGGGAAATTCGATTGCGGCTATCTCGTAACGGTGAAATTCGGTTCGGAGACTCTCAGTGGAGTACTCTACCACCCTAACCAGCAGACTCTAGCCGGTTCTCCTAATCCAACTTCATCCCCCGAACCTGTCAATGCCATTGTACCCTACACCCCACAAAGATCTGTTCGTGTTGCGGGTTCGAGGAGGAGGAGGAGATCAAGGAGGAGGACAGATCCCAACTACCCAAAACCCAACCGGAGCGGCTACAATTTCTTCTTTGCTGAAACGCATTTCAAGCTCAAGTCCCTCTACCCAAACAGAGAGAGGGAATTTACCAAGATGATTGGCGAGTCTTGGAACAAACTCCCTGCAGAAGAGAGGCTGGTAACTACAAACGGATAACCTATATACTTGTAGCAGGCGTCTGTTATACTATTTCAAAAAAGGGGACATAGGCCCCGTAGGAACTATGTATTTACCGTATAGGATCCTTGTATTCTGAAGCAAAAAGGGAAATTAGTGAAATATATACGAGATCCTTACGGTGAATACATGGTCTATAGGCCCCCTACAATAGTCCTTTCACCATCCCCTTTTTGCTACAGTAGAATGGGATCCCAACTTAGCTGCTCCTATATATATACGTAGTTGCGTAATTTCCTTCTTTCATATACATAATTATCGCATTCTTCTGTCAACTATCAGGTTTACCAGAACATTGGGTTGCAAGACAAAGAAAGATACAAGAGAGAGTTGAAAGAGTACAAGGAAAGTTTGCAGCTCAGGATTCAGGCTGGCCATGGAAATTAACTAGGTCGATTCCAGTTTGAGTTAGCTTTTCGAAAGTTTGTCGAGAGAATAATGTAGTAGTCTGTGGTTTCCAAACAGAAAGTTTTTGCAACCATTTTACTCTGAGAAATGATCTAAATCTCAATCTTTAGTTTCAAACTTTCAATGCACTATGCACTTAGCAACTCCTTCCTTGTTTCGATCTTTTTTATTGTATTTTGCTCTGAGGGTGGTTTTCAGTTTTTGTATGAAATGAAGCTCCATTGATATCTCATTTTATTGCAAAATGTGTTTAATCCATTAGAAACAAGGGGGAAAACAGAATGTTGTGTATTTACAAAAATAAAGAACCATAAGCTGCGCATCACTGTGCTGCAAGAAAGATTAAGCAAAGGAAAAAGCAGATATACCAAGCTAATACTATGAAGCATCAAGAAAGCTTGCTGAGGCCGTGAAAGAAGCGGTGTCTCCTCCTCTTCGAATGCTTACGAGAATCCTTGGGCGCAATATAAGGAACAAAAGGCATCTGAGAACATGGATAGCAGAAATTAAATAGACAGGAATGACGGAAAATACCAAGGACGCAACTCCGGGTGAAACTGGAAGACTTTGAACTTAAGAACCCAACATGCAAATCCAGATATAGTTCAACGACCATTGCTATAAGCCTGCCTAAATTAAGTAACAATCTTACAGAATATAGATATACAATTCGAATGGATAGCATTCCAAATAGGAGGGGAAACCTGAGAATGGTTGTGTATGCCAAAATGCTGAACTGGAGCACTGTCATCTAGTAGCTTCTCATTGTCGTATGAGAGGCAAAAATTCCTCCAAACGTGCTTCCTGATTGCAAACACATCAAATCAAAATCAAAATGTAATTATCATATCCATCTTTTTGGTTGACAAAGGGGCGTAAAGCCGGAAAGAAGGAAAAACTACATTAAAATGTCACAAGGGCAAGCGACCCAGCTATATCAGCAACCCGCAGACGATGACAAGATAACCATATTCATTTTCAAACACAAACAGAATAATATTGAACTTACCATGAAATGTGGCGGTGACCCATCTTAGATTGTTCCATCTCATTGATTTTCTTCCTGATTGCAAGCTTAAGATCCTTCATCGTAGAAGAATTCATCACTGCCACATCTTCACAGTCAACCCAAATCAAATGCATCAGTTTCTTTCTTTAGTATACATTAATAAATACAGAAAGAAAAAAAATGAAAAGTTGGCAGATGAAGTGTTCGAGAAAATGCCAAGGTGAATAGTACCGACCGAAGGAAGTGCCGCCGAGCTTTAGGACGGAGATGCGCATGGCGCTGCCCAATTCGAGGCTGATGAGAGTGTCAACATCGGATAAGGTTGGTTTTTTGGGAACGTCGGAAAGTATAGGATCACTGACAAGGGCAGCAAGCGTCGACTGCAACCTGGCTTTCTTTATGTTGCTTTCCTTGTATCCTTCCACGCTTATCTCCCCCTTCCCCTTCGCATCTGACTCCATCGGCGATTGGTCTCTAGGAAAATCAGCAGAGGAGAAAGAAAAGAAGCCACTGGCCCACTGCCAATGGCTTTTCGCGGGATCTTTCTTTTTTGGTTTTCTTTGCTAGGTGCATTCAAGCCACGTGGGGAGGAGGGTGTTTCATTTCCACTTGCACCAGAATACTTACCCTAATTAGGAGTAAATTAAGTAGTTAAGATCGAGTGAAGTTCAACGGTCGCATACCTTTTATGCCACCTGGTATTTATTGTCCATGTATTTGAGTTAGGGAGCATTCGAAAATAAGAAGACTTATTCGCATCGAAAGGTTAAAAACCTCGCATAAGCTTATAAAAGAATTGAGTTACTTTCTATTGTTAATTACCAACTAACATTTGTGTAAACCTCTATTTACTTTAAAGAATTAGGATAGATTAGTTCGTTGATGAAATCCAACGGCAACATGTACTTTACATCATTTAAAACGATGTACCTGGTTTAAGTTATTCTCTTCATAAATTAGAGTAATTTAGAACATTTTATTAAAGAAATAAATTCACAAATTTAGCAAGACAATTAGAAAATTGATTTGTGAAGGTAAACGGTTGACAAATTTAACAAGAAATCGTTACATATCCAGCAGTAGTGAGAACCTTATAGAATTTATTTAGAAAAACCATTATACATAGTACAACTAATCAGGACATGCAAAAGAATTCTGCCAAACATAATTTCGTAAGGCAAAACCAGAGAGTGCAAACTCTTTACCAAAACAGTCTCCAAACTCATCAAAACCTAACAAGGTTTCTGGTTGAAGAACACCAACACTTAATTTATTCAAAGTCTGCGATTAGGTGAACTAACTGCAACGCTGATCAAATTTAATTAGGTAGGCTTTTGCATCTCAACCACCTTCTGCCACGACTCCCGTCTCGATATCTCAGACCACCACCTTCCCACATTCTCTCTCGAAGTAATCAGCTCTCCCCTGTCGGTGGCATTAATCAGGTACTGCGTGTTGGGCAAGTGAGACAGGTCAGCCAGCGAGAATTCATCTCTCGCCAAGAGCCGGCTCTCACCCAGCCTCTTTTCGTACACATCCAGCACCTTGGCAAGCTTCTCTTCATTCTGCCTTATCACTCCCTCGTCATGCTTCAGCTTGCATTCGCCTTCATCCTCGGCGCGAATGCAAGCTGAAACACCAGCGTTGAGCTCGGAGGGCTGAAGCTCTGCCCTTCAGCCTCCAGCCACTGATCTATTGACGCTTTTGCCAATGCATTCATTCCGTACAAACCCTTGTTTCCCTGATCTGCATACTTGTCACATATGTACCGGCATATGGCTCTGGATTCTAAATGGAAATTGTATAAAAATTTATATATTAAAATGCAAGCTCCCAATGAAATTATCCATAATTAGGAATGCGCTGCCGAATTAGTAAAACAATGAAATTAGGATATATACCGAAGAGGGAGATATGTTCGTCTTCGAAAGCGGGTACTTGTCCAAATGGCTTAAACGTGAGTCTGTGAGTTAGAGAATGTATAATACATACATATTATATATTATACATGCGCTATATTATGTAGGAAACGATACCTGAATCTTGAGATAGTCGGGCTTCTTGTGCTCGCCTTTGGCCATGTTCACGGAAATGAGCTGATAGTCCACCCCTTTCTCAAGGAGACAGGCCAATACTCTTGACACCGCCGTCGACAACGGTGGTCCGTACACCTTCACCCGAGTCGCCATTTGATTTGCACTTAGGCTTTGAGATTGGATGGGTTTTTATCTCTTTCTGGATAAATTATATGGGAAATTTGGAGTTTCTAGTTGACTTCGTGTCCTGTTTTACACCATACTAAAGGACAACGAGCTGCTCTACTTTATCCCTTGCTAAAATGGTGGGAATTGGATCCCATCCAAATCTTAGGATCCTCATATCTTAGCCCTTAATTATTTATCGTGCAGTTAGAAATTATTTGATTTTTTATTTAAAATTAAACACAAATAGTATCTAATAAAAATTGACTGCATGATGTACGGTTAAATCCACGTAAGATGCTCTTCCAAAATGGTGGGTTTGATGGGGCCCACCACCTAGCTTAACTAACAAAAGAAGCCCTTTAAACTTACAAAGATAAAGCCTACGAGTATTTTTATGAGTAAGGGTAGGAAACTAAATTTGTAAGTTAAATTTTGTAACCTAAATGATATAAAAGTTAATTATTAGATTATTATTTAAGTATTAATTAACTTGTTAATTTTTTATTAGTGACACATCATTTAGTTTGCAAATTTAGTCTACTTTTACCTTTTTCTTAAGGCTTAATGGATTAAAAGTCGTAGCAGTGACATGATAGTTAGAAGATAGTTTTTGTAATACAAAAATTGGGCTTTAAAATTATGTGGTAAAGTTTGTTAGGATAAGTTCTGTCAACTCTATTTATTGTTAGCACGTGAGTCTTACATGTGAGGCTAAAAAGATAAAATTACTCTCAAATGTGCGACTCACATGCTAATAATTAACGGAGAGAAAAAAAAAATGCTCGCTAAAGCTTTTTGGTGACGACTTTTAAATGATTTGTCTTCGTTGAAGAGGCTCTTCATATCTTCAATTGAATAGCTGCTGGACCAAGTTAATCGACACGATCTACCCCTCAGTCAACTGAGTGATGAACGAAGTAGCTCCTTGGTAATGGCTTAATCTATAGATAGAAAGCCCTATGATGGGAAATAAGTGTATCCTTCTTCTACTCTTTCAGTGAATGAATGAGTCCTAAGCGTATGATCGACAATAAATTAGCTGCCTTTAGGAGTTAGGAAGCTCGTTTTTGGTTCATGTTTATTTTGTTTGGGAGGAAAACGTGGAATAAGAAATAGGAGCAACTGAAATGCTTATTTGGGTAAGACTTTGAAAGAAAAAAAAAAAAAAAAGTAAAATTATTTTTATGTTTAATTTACTATATTGCCCATAACTTTAACTTTATTTATTTTTTGTTTGTTTTGTAAACAGGGTTAATTTGGTCATTTAACTTCTTTCAATTATCAAAGAGAATTTGGTTTATAAGTAGCTTTAGAATTTTACAAAGTAAACAATTTTAAAGGCCTTTCTGAGCTTAAAGAAAATAAGGAAACGAGAATAGATGAATTGGGTTAATGTAACAGGGCTCGGCCCAGTAACCCTAATCACCCTAGCATTAAAAAGAGCTTTGTTCTCCTAAGCATCAAAAGACAGTAAAGAACGAATAAGATGTAGTTAAATCTCAACCGCTCACCCATAAAAATGATGCACAGCAGTGAATCATGCACATAAACAATTTCACCCAGCACCAACAGGACGAGAAACGAAGACTTGGAAAACTGATGTTTCTCCATACATCTTTCAAATCAGACATTGAAACATAATAAACCCCTCGCTGAACTGATTGGAAAACGTACACAATCAAAGGATATTAAGGTTTCACTGATTGTGCAAACTTAATACAAAAGCAGCATCACCTGCAGGAAGATTGTTTCTGAAATCAGACGGAACAAGGACTTTGCCACGTTGATATGTCAGTGATAAGATCCCGTAGTTGATCTATAAGAAATTTGATGTACACATTCTTGTTCGTAAGCTCCTACAAAGAAAAACAATGTCAGTACGAACTTTTACAGAAATATTGGAGCAAGAAATGTAGCGCCCTTCAAAGATTAAAAATTCCAAACAAAGTTCAACCCCTCCACTAGCGAATCTATTTCTAGACATGGTATATGAGAAATCATCAAGCTTACCTTTCTCAAATTGGAGGCTCGCTCATCCAACTTGTCAATTTCAGCTTGATCTGCCGTTGATTCTGCACCGACAGCAGTTGAACTGGTTTTGGATGTTGCCTATTTTAAAATTTACAACTGTACGTTAGCTAACTATAAGGTTCACAAACTATGACATCTCAATGTGAAATAAAATCATTCCAATTAGATGCATACACACACATAAACTCAAGACAAACAACTATTCACGATCACAATATACCTCAAGTATTGACTCTTATAACATTCCAAGTTTTGCACTGAAGCATTTGCTGCATTTCACGCAGTTTGGGATTACGGGTAAACGGAGCAAACATTTCGTTCAATTCAGTGGTTAAAGCTCGTCACTTTCATACACAAAATCAACAGAAATCTCTACTCATCCAGTTCAACACAGTGGTTCAATCAATCAAGAACTTAATTTATTTCTTGATTTTTGTAAATAAAAAACACTGCACTGGATCCTCCATCACACAAATAACACTTGAAGAAATCACACCTTATAGAATCATTGGCATTGGTTAAATATGAATACATAAACGTGATTATGCAGGCAATTTCACTATTTAATTTGACAAGTATGGAAAATTAACCAAATTAAAGCAAAGGGTGTCTGAAATCACCTTCTGAGAGTTGGGAATTGCAGCGAGAACGGCACGAAGCAAGCCCACAGAGTTCTTATACCGAAATCGAGCCTCCTCAAGAGCTCCTCCGGTGCCAGGACCACCAGCGCCAACTAAGTCTCCATGCTGATGGGAAGAAGTGTTTTCAGAAGAAGACGAATCGCCGTTATTGACGCCGTTTGAGTGGAAAGAAGGGCCACTTGCAGTGTTAGAGGAGGCGGTGCCGGTGGTGGACCACAAGGTGGGGTTGCAGAGCTCGTCGTTCATGGAGGAGAGGATCTGGAAAGCTGCCTCGATAGTTTCTTCCAAATGCTTCTGGCCTTCCATTGCTAGCTCTTGCGTCGTCTTAGGGCTTGCTGTTAATTCATTCGCATCCTTCTCATCCATTCTTTTCGACTCTGTTGTCTGTTGACGAATGATTGAGAAGGATTCTGAGACGAGAGAGAGACAGAGGGCGACGATGGAGAGATGAAAAGTGTTTTGGCAGATGGGCCAAAAGCCCAATAAAACAGGAGCTTTTTAGGTGTTGGGAGTTGTGGATCTTATGTTACTGGGTCTTTGTACTGTTTATTTATTTTTTCAAATATTGTTCGGGGACGTTCGACCGAACTATCACTATTTTTCGGCAGTAACCTACCGAAAGAAATTAAATAGATGATGTTAAAGCTACATTAGTCTGAAACTACAACCATCTTTTGTTATTTCTCATCAATCATGTGTTCCAAAGAACCCTCATCCGTCATTACCGTGCTGCAGGTCTTAGTTTGAAAGTGGCGATGGCGTACATGAAGTTTATTAACTTGCTGGCGTCGGAGCAAGGTTGTCCAATTTGAAGGAAGTTTGTCGGAGGTTAAACTTGGCATTTGATAGTCCTCTTCTTCTTGTTGATACGATTGCTGCTGCTGCTCTAGTAGTTGTAGTTGAAGATTTTCTTTTCAAACTTCCAATTAAGGAACTGCAGTGCAATAAAAGTTAGAATATTTGCCGCTTATTATGTTTCCTATTGCCAAGTCAAAACCCTACTTTCGAATTCTCAAGTACTTTAAGTTTTTTTATTTTTTTTGGAGTACATCGCTATTTTTACATTAGTAGAAGGGAGAGTTTGGCTAAGCTACATAATAAGCAGCCTAATTAGGTATCGAATTCGTCATCCACGAGATTCAAATCTAAGACCTCTAACTTCTAAGTGAAAATGAATGCCACCAAACCATAGTAGTGAGTGGCCACAAGTTGAAAGGTATGTATTTCTATGTTATGATTGGTTTCTATTGCAGTGTTATTTTTAATTCAGTTTTGATTTTGAATTTACGGAATCACTTTGTTGGTTCTAATTTGGTTTCTGATGCAATTTTGTTTCTATTTACTTTTGGATGGGTTTTTATTTACGGTTTCTGTGTTGCAATTTTGTTTCAATTTACTTTTGTTTTCCTCGGTAAAATCGTTGTGCAATTTTGAATTTTTGTAGGATAAGGATACGGGGAAATTAGGTTGGTGGCTTCTTGGTTGTGAAAAAGAAGGATTTTAGTTGGGATGGTGAGATATTACATAGTAGGTTGGTGTTTTGAACGAATTTTCGTTGATTGGGTAATCTAATTTGATGCATTCAAATCCAAACCAGGAGACATGAATTCAAACTTGAATCTAGTAGATGAGACACGTTCTTTTGCCAGCTTGACTAGACTCGTCCAGTTTTCCAACGGAGCATATATAAATAGATTGGAGGGAAAGGAATGACTTGTGAAGAGCTCATTTACACACGTATTAGAAACAAAATCCTCTCTCAAGTCCTTGGTACGATCAGCCGCGTCACATCACTCGTCTGCCTAAGAATTTCTCCTCATTTGGCACTACCATCACCGCCTTGCTTGAAAGTAGGTACTACTTTAGCTGATTTTCCCTTTCGTCTATCCTCACTTCCCTTTGCAACCTGTAGTGTGCCAAGATATATTAGAATTGCTCATTAGGAATGGAAAGGATAAGGAAGCATAAAGACGAGTGTTGGATCTTTTTCCCCGTACCTTCCTGGCCAAGTGCTGCAACATATTTACAATTTCTGAGAATTCCGGTCTCAATGATGGGTCTTGCTGCCAGCATCTCTCCATCAGTTCCATCAGCACAGGATTCGTGTGCCTCGGAATTGTAGGCCTCAGACCCTGTGTAATTCACGCACCAAGAATACTCAATTAAATGGACTTCTTTTTTAGTTTTGAGCTTATTCATTATCAAAACAAAAGCTATGCCTGCCCAGCTCGCCGGCTAGGAATTAATAAATCAGTCGGATCATTAGAAGATACCCTATTTTACGCAGCTATAATTCCTGGCACAACTTTTACAAGGCTACCAGCTACTAAATAGAACAACTTCTCATCAGGAAAAGGAAACTTATTTCCACTCATTGGGAACTTACATCAATCCATTCCAAACAAGAAAGACATAGATAAAAGAAAGGCTTAATTGTGGAAAAAGTAAAAGTAGTACCTTCTGGACTACGCCAACTGCTGCTTGTAACGGAGTTAAGTTCTCGTAGGGAAGCTGACATTTCAGTCACAAAACACAGAGAGAGGATGGTGTGAAGTCTGTGCAACCATGAACTAGTTTAAAGATAAACAAAAGCATTAACTGGAATAGTTTTTCATGGTATAAAAGAGATTACCTTCCCTGTAAGCAGCTCCCAGAGAACAACCCCAAAGCTAAAAACATCAGCTGTATGATTGTATGGCCTATGTTCTATAACCTTCCGTAATCAACAGAAAGCAATCATGTGTGTCAGACACTAGTGTGATATCCATATGCTTAATTCCAATGAAGCAAATAAATGGTTTAATACTTAACAACAAAGGATAAATATCTAGGGAAAACAGACCTCGGGAGCCATCCAACGGTAAGTGCCAGTTTCTGCAGTCATACCACCAGACTGTGCCTGTACTCTAGCGATGCCGAAATCAGCTACTTTCACTGCCTGTCAACAATAATTTCAAACTTTAAGAAAATCAAATTAATTAAATTTGATCACCATGTTAAATCTACACACACTTTAGAATAACCTGATAAGCTCCTGTCAAGAAAGAGATGTAACAGGACAAGAACGCACGCGTCCTGCCCATGCCTCCTTTTAGTTTTGAGAAAAGTATGATAAATAAAAGTACGTATAAATGCAACATATTTAAGAGACACAAAGAATCTATTACTCCAGTTCCGTCCATCAAAAGATTAGCAGCTTTCAAGTCCCTATGGATTATATTGTTTTGGTGCAAGTAGTTCATTCCCCTGGAAACATCAATTGCGACTCTGAGCAAGGACAGAAGTGATAAAACACCCCTTTGCTTATGCAGAAAGTCATACATACTTCCACCAGACAGAAATTCTGAGAACGAAAAAGAAATATAAAAGGGCATAACTCAAATTGAACAGAAAACCATGTGTGGGCATAAACAAATATAAATACATAAATTACAAAAGCATGGTACTCAATGTGCACATAATTCATCCAAAATTACCAGTAACGATGCAAAGCTTAGGAGGTTTAGTGCATGCCCCAATAAATCGAACGACATTCTTGTGCCGAACTTTTCTGCCAAGACAATACAATTTTGAGAAGTGCAAGATTAAATGCATGAAACACGATTTTGAGAGTGGCCTTTCTCCCTCTTGAGCATTTACCTTATTAATGAAAGCATTAAGATACACAATGAGAGTGCTTAAAAAACAACAACAAAGAAAATACAAGGGAACTCAGAGCCTGGAGTAAGGATGTGCTGTGACATGACCGACCTCATAATATAGACTTCTTGAGTAAACTCCTTCATAGTTTCATTCAGGCGCTCAGTGCTAATAACTTTAATAGCCACATCTTGACCACAGTAACTACCTTGATACCTGTGTCAATTAACCTAGCTATTTAACAAGTACTCATTTACCAATTAAACATGACCTAGTATGTTTAGTGTTGACAGAACTTACAAATCACCAATCGATCCAGATGCAATTTTCTTCTCATATCTCAACATGCTTGCATCAATTTCCCAGACATCCTTTTCCTCATTGAGTGTGCTTACATGATCATTAATAAACTTCATTGCAGTCTCTTGATCCGGAGCAGGAGAAATGATGTTACAGTCCAATGAAGGATTCTTCTGCAATACCAATATCATGCTTAATCGACAATAATTAGAGAATGAAAATTGTTATCAGTAATCGGAATCTATAAAAAAGTTAAGTTTGCACTAAAGGACCTACCTCATTCCACTGGTATTTGTTTTGCCAGTGCATGCCTAAGCCTCTCAGTTTCCTACAAATTTACATTAAACATGTATGTCAAGCAGTTTATCATTGTTTTATAGCAGAATATGAACACGGCAAGCCAATACCTCACATGGCCAACCATCAACAACAAAGACATCCAAAGAGTAGCCATCTGTTGTGGAATATGCATGTGCTTCTTGAATGTTCAGTCCAATGTCAGATAATAAGGATGTCAACTGATGCAAAACATAAAATTTTGAACAGTGAATTAGAAACATTGTTTGAATACACAAACTATCATTTTTCTATGAGGAACAACCACAAAAATATTACAGCAAAATATTTCCAAACAGAATTAACTGAAATGTTCTACACATAAACATCAATTTTGTCAATTTTATCTGCAAAAATATAAAGACGAGATTCCCTTGGGACAATTTACGGCACAAGATATGGCAGGACAAATAAAATACAGTATAGATCAACCTTGACTTTGATAGTGAATTCTACTGATAACGATTTACTTGAATCTCAACAAATCACCCACCATGACTGACTAAACAGGCTACCTCTTATTGATAACCTGAGTGGGTTTAACACAGAGTGCCAAGGGATTCGAGATAGTCACAAGCCTTTCAGACCCTCTGAAAAGGTCAAGAATCAGAGTGAGCATTAGGGTGACGATACACTTTGAGGAAGTAATCTTTAAGCATAACAACATTGGGTGGAGGGAGGGGACCAGGGCCCACTAGAATTTCCTAAAACAAGTGCATGCCATCCTCACTATTTGTCGGAATTTAATATGAAGTAAGAATATCAAATATGAAGTTAAACAATAAACACCTTATATATGTTAGAAGATTCGGAACTTTAAGTGAATCACGTCACATACTATGCAGAACGTATCTTGAAAGCGATTATAAAAATCCTAAGAAATGCTTAACATGTTAACAATACATCATCGAGAAATATCAACAAAGATGATGTAAATTGAAAACCGCAATATATTGATTGACATTGCAGAACAGCAATTTTAAGGATATATTAAAAGGGCCACAACAAATCTACCTCACTGAGGAGTTTGGGCTTGTCATTCGTGGAAATAGTAATTTCATGCATCGACCTGTAAATTTGAAGTATAGCAAAGTTAATCAGATAAGAACAATGTAAAACTATAGCAATCATTTATCTGCCGTAATTCCTTCCTGTCAAAGATCTTCTCATACACAGTGAAATCATA